GACAGGTGGTTTAATTACTATTGGAAAATGCTTGTCATTCCTCTGTGGCATCTGGTCCCCACTGGACCCTCATCATTTCCTTCACCTGCTCCCCCCACCGACCAAACTGTGCAGCTCTGCGGCTGCATCCTGGTCCATCCTCACCCATCTGCCCCCAACCCTCACCTCCTTGTACCCCCAATATGTTTTTCTCAATAAAAAATATATTAATTAAAAAAAAAAACACCAAACCGATTATTCTGGCCTTAGCACCTCACCATCTTCTATCTGGATCCTAGACACTGCAACAAATCTCAAACTCCATGTTACTGTTAGAAATTAAACAATATAAATAACCTTTGATCTTGCATTAAAGTTTGTATTAGATATATAAATCAAGGTTAATGGAGGGAAAATCCTATAGATTACAACCAATCCATAAAGTCTGCTGTTGCTGTGGGTAATCAAGTTGGAACTAACCTATAGTTGACCCTCTAATCAGTTTTCAGAGGCAGTATAGAGCTCCAGTGGCCTAGTGGCAAGAAGCTGCGCTACAATCCTGAAGGCATGTGTTCGAAGCCACCAGCTGCTCTGAACAAGCAGAAAGATGAACAATATCCTCCCGTTCTATTAACTACCTCTGAAAACCCACTGGAGGGTCAGCAAATAGGTTGGTTCTGACTCTATGGTATACTACAACAACATACTGCACAGGGGAAGACTGCCCACCCTTCTCCCAAGGAGCATCCAGCAGATTCTAATCATGTGCCTTTGGGATTACAGTGCAGCTTCTTACCAGCAGGAAACCAGCCAATTTAATAATTATACTATTTCTACATTTGGGAATGCCTTTGTTTTGAAGAAATACAATCTTATGTATTACCTTAACCAATTAGTTCAAAGAAATTCTACAGAGAATGTGTTTCCATAGATATACACATAAATGTATATGTGAATATATATTTACACACACACACACACACACACACACACACACACACACAGACATACAGAAAGAGGGGAATGTTTAAAATGTTAATATTTGGGAGCCTGGGTAGAAACATTTTCGACAAACCTAAATTTCTATCAAAGTAAATAAAAATTAAAAGTTGAAAGCAAAATATTCAATCCCTTCTTGAATTTCCCTTTCTCATATCTTTTTAATCGTATTTGGAGGCCAGTGGCATGAAGCAAAAGAAACAAGATGATGTGTTTGGCTTAAAAAAATAAGCAGTAGGTAGAAATTCTGAAAACTGCATGATCACTATACTCTGGGAGGCTGAACACTAAATAAAAAGCCAAATCATAACTGGCAGAAACAAACATCTCACAGAATCCTATTTCTTCAGTCGCTAGAACAGAAAGAGATCCAATCATTTTCCTACGGGAAGGTGATGCGATTCCACACTCAAGGCCTGTGTCACAGTATATAGGCCCTGCGGTGCTTTATAAAACTCACAAAAGCCTTACTTTGCAAATGAATATTAGTTACAGATTTCTGAAATGCAAGGGAGGGGCAGATTTAATAATCAAAGACAGTTATGAAAGCATTTCAAGCCCATCTGATGGCTGGAAAAATCTTTATAAAATGAAGCAAAAGTGCATGTCCATTCAGTTCACAGGTAGCCCTCATGACACACAGGACAGTGGGCTAGATGCTCAGAGCAAGGACCAGTCCACGAATTCCACAGCCTTGTCTTGGGTAGCTTGTCATACAGTAAATTTGATCCTGTGTCCATTGTCTTTAAACCCTTTGGGGTTGGAAGCATTCAGGAAGCAAAACCCCCTAAAATTAGAGTGATACGCTTTCACAGGGGGGAAAATAGCTTTAGAAATAGTTCTTTGTGACAAAATAGCTTTAGAAATAGTTCTTTGTGACTAGAAAGATATATGAATATGAGGACAGTCACAGAAGAGATAAACTGCAAAACTTAACAATTTGGCTGGAGTCAGAAGATGAATTTAAAAGACAGCAATGGCTTAGTGAGTAAGGAAGTGTACTGTCAACCCAAAGGCAGACAGTTCAAATCTACCAGCTGTTCCGCAGCAGAAAGATGGGAAACTTCTCTTATGCAGTTTATAAGCTCTAAACTTAAAGATTTGGAAATCCAGACTGAGAGTCACAACGGTGGACTGGTCCCATAATCTTCAAAGACAGGAATGAAAAGACAGTGAATGAAGAATCTGCTTATGCAAATTAAAATTGGAAACACCAGATCTCTTGGAAAGAGTGGACATAAATTCATTTTAAGTGAGAAATAAAGACCTGAGGCCATTTAATCCTGTAGCACAGTCTCATTCCTATCATCAATTATTTACATTATTTCTAGCAATGAAAATGAGTCAGAGAAAACAAGTGAAGATAATCTTTGAGGGTGCTGAACAACAAAAGCTACAAGAGAAGATGCCACCATCCCTATTCAATTGGGATTAAATTTTTTTAATTAAATTTTATTAATTTTAATGAACATTTACAGAGATTTGGG